GGGTTGAATCTATTTTAGGTAAGTTCTCTACCTCTGAACTACATTTCTATCCCTTGTTTAGAGAAAAGGTGTCCCTACATTGCATGGGCTGGGCTCCCACTTGTGATTCTCTTGTCTTAGCCTCCCAGCATGCTGGGGTAACAAACAGATGTGCACCGCCACACCGGCTTGTGTGTGTATGGTGCTGGGAACTGAAAGGAGGGCCTCACACATGCTAGGCAAGTGCTCTACCACTGGGCACTAAGCTTCACCCCCAAATAGGAGACAAATATTTTTGTTTTTATTAATTAATTAATTTAAAGTCAGGTTGGCCCTGAACTTGGGGCAATCCTCCTGCCTCAACCTCAAATGCTGGGATTACATGTACCACCATACCCTGGGAGATAGACAATTTTAATGACAATTTAAAAAACTAGGGCTATTTAAAATGACTTCATGAGGGGGGGAAGGAAAAAAAAATAAAATGACTTCACAAGAGATGGAGATGAGCTTAGAGGTAAAGCACCTGCCTAGGATGACTAGCAGTCCCCAAGGTTTAATCCCCAGCACTAGAAAAAAGTAAAAGAAAGGTGAAAACCCACACATTTCTGTATAAACAAAGTGACAAACTGATAAGAGCTGTGAGATAAAGCCCAGGGCACATTAAGAGTACCTAACATGGGAATCCAATGATGGGCATCTGATGCCAGCCTGCTAAGACAGCTGAGCTGGAAGAGGGAACATCAGATCCTTGGAGAGAAAGGGCAATGTTATCCTGAGAGGGACAGGGCAAGGCTCACTTTCCCTGAATGTTCACCTCAGATACCAGCAAGTACGTGGCCAGGACACTGGTGTGTTCTGCTTGATACACCCTGAGGCAAGGGGGCCAGCAGGTTCCAGGTGGCACCACAATGAGGTTGCGGTATTTCTGTCATGCCAGCGGGTTCTGTCTATTAATATACAGGTAGATTACATTTTTTTTTTTTTTTTTTTGCAGAACCAGGGTTTGAACTCAGGCCCCTGCACTTGTCGGGCAAGCACTTATTCTACTGAGCCATCTCCCCAGCCCGGGCAGATTACATTTTAAAAACTGCACATCTACTTTGTGATTTCCAGTTGTGTATTATTTGTTTGGTTTTGCTTTTCAGAGTCAGAGTCTTAGGGCTGGGGAGATGGCTCAGTGGAATAAGTCCTTCCCTGGTAAGCACAAGGGCCTGAGTTCAATCCCTGGTTCCACAAAAATAAAAAAATCACATCAGAGACAGAGTCTTCCTATGTAGTTCAGTCTGGTCTCAAACTCACAGTGATTCTCCTGTCCCAGCCTCCTAAGTGCTGGGATCACAAGCATGTCCCCTCATGCCCATATTACACAACACATCCATTATCAACCTCTATAGAGCACTGGTGATGAACCTTTTAGAGTTTCCAATAACGAACAGTCTGCTGTGGCACATGTGCCACAGCTCACCACCAATGCTCTGGAGTCACCTTTTCTTTACCTCCTCTAAATTACATTCTACTGCAATATGGAATTTTGTTTTGTTTTTAGCATTATGACCTCAAGCTTATGATAAACCTTCATCAGAAATGTTGTTATATTTATGTATTTATGGCTGTCTCAGCCCACCCTAGGGGTGGGGTTGATGTGGCATGTGATGCTGGGGATCAAACCTCCATCCTTGCTTTTGCCTAAGCTTGCCTAAGCAGGTGCGTTAGACCACTGAGCTTTCTTGCTAGCCCAGCAATGTTATTTTGAAAACTGAAGTTTTACTCTATCCCTAATGAGAAAGCCAGGAACATATAGTTCTTCACCAGCAAACACATTAGCACCTACTGCATTATGAATATAAACACTAAGTGATAAAAAAAGATTGAAGGCCAGGTGTGGTGGCACATGCCTGTAATCCTAGCACTTGGAAGGCTGAGGCAGGAAGATCACTATGAGTTTGAGGCCAACCTAGGTCACATTACATAGTGAGTTCACAGCTACCCTGAAGTACAGAGCAAGATCCTGTCTTAAAACAAAAAACAAAAAACAAAAAACAGCGAAGAAGCAGACTTGTTAGGATAGCCAGAATGAAATGCTTGCATTTCTACGGGCAGGCTGACAAGTTAGCTCTGTGATAATCAGAGATAATTAGCTGCGCTCCTCTGGGCCTCTCAGCTCCTCAGTCGGCATGCTTTGAAAGTCTGGCTACTGATGTGGAGACGCGATGGGACTGCGAGGCCTTGATTCTCTAAGCACGCAGAGCCGGAGGAGGAGCTGGTCCTGTACTGAAAGGATGTGCTAGACCACTTGCCGCCAGATGTTACCAAAGGATCCAAAATATTTGGTTAAGTACCTTTGCTCTCCTGTTTTATTTTTTAATTTTTTTTAAAAGCTTTATGAACTTCCAAAACAGAAGATCTACTCTCAGGGACAAATGGGACATACAAGAAATTTGGCTGGCAGCCTTGGGCAGCAGCAACCACCACAAGCCAGCTGTATGGTGGAAGCCTTGAAACCTAGACCATTTCCCTGTTGGCTGGGTCTATAAAATCTGTACTAAGTGACAGATGTGTGAAGCAGTTTAGGTGGCTGGGCAACGAGCCAGCCACAGGAGGAGGAGCTGGCTACTCTTACAGGTGTTAAAAGAAGGCAAGAGCTGCATCTTCAGTGAGCCAGCGCTTAGCCAATTTAATTAATTTATTTAGGTTTTTTTTTGGTGGTGTTGGGGATCAAACCCAGGGCCTTGTGCATTACACTTGTGCAAGGTAAGCACTTTATCACTGAGCCACATCCTCAGCTCCTTATTTAGAATTTTTGAGATGGGGTCTCATTATGGAGTTTGGGCTGGCATGAGGATTCTCCTTCTTCAGCCTGATGAGTGCTGAGGTTCAAGGTCTATACCACCATGCCCAGCCTAATCAATGTTTTATTAATTTTTATTTTTTGTTCTTATTATATAATTTGAGACAGATTCTCACTATGTAGTTCAGGCTAGCTTTGAATTCACTATGTAGCCCAAAATGGCCTTGAACTCACAGTTCAAAGTGCTAGGATTACAGGTGTGTGCCACCACATCTGGCTTTTACTTTTTTTGAGACAGACTCACTGCACTGCGTAGTTCATGCTGGCCTTCAGCTCATCACTATGTAGCCCAGGCTGGCCCATTTATCCAAGTAAAGAGTGACTACTCTGTACTCCCCTTACTTCCTCAGCTGCCCTTTTATTTCATTTACTGACCTCAATTTCATTTGTAAGCTAATAAATCTCCTACATAAAATTAGAAAGTATAGAGAGTACACACAGTTTCAATTACCTTGCAAGTACCAATTAAGTGATCACCTAAGTACCAGGACCAATGCTATTGAACAGGTATAGGTATGAAGGGGAAATAATTAACCCAAAGAACCAGCACAGGGGTGGAAGTGTGTGTTTCAGTGGTGGAGTGTTTTGCTACCTGTGATCTTCACTACTGCACAGAGAAATAAGTAACAGAATGAACAGCTGGGCATGGTGGCTCACCTCTGTAATCTCAGTACTTGGGATGCTGAGGCAGGAGGATTACGGAATTAGAGGCCAGCCTGGGCTACACAGTGGTTCAAAGCCAGTATAGACTCTTCTCAGGGTCGTGGGTTTGTGCCCCACATTGGGCGCCAATTGTAGGAGACACTTCCAGGTCCTCATCTCGGTCCAAGAAGCCAATATTTGTAATCCCAAAGTTATGTTATTGGAATCCCATCAAGTTGATTCCAATTTACCACTTATAATGCAACCCACGGAGAAAATAAAGACACTAAATTATATTTTCAATCATTGGGGAGTCAAGGGGCTCTAACTCCAGCCACGAACACAGCTTTCTGGAACCAAGAGCGTGACCCAGGGCCTCATCCGGTTTTTATTCAGTGGGGGAGGGGCTTGAGGAAGACTGACTGAGAATTGTGGGAAGTAGGTGATCATTGTGAGCTGAGTTAAGTGGGTCACCTAAATTTACCTCTGCGATATGCAGAGAGAGTAATCTGCATTTTATAGTATCTACTGTTTTGGTAAGTCTGGTGCTTCAGCTTTGGTGTAGCCTTTCAAGTCCCAGGAAGCCATAGCCTCTATCTTTTTTTTTTTTTTTTTATTTTTTTTTTTTTTTTTGTGTGTGTGTGGCCAGCTCAGCCCACTAGGGGGCGGGGCTGGCTGGCATGTGGTGCTGGGGGATTGAACCGTGGTCTCTGTGCTTTGCTTAGCTTAGCTCGTTCTAAGTAGGTGCTTTAGACCACTGAGCCATCTCACCAGCCCATTTTTTTTTTAAATTTTATTTATTTATTTTGTGTGTGTGTGTGTGGCCAGCTCAGCCCACTAGGGGCGGGGCTGGCTGGCATGTGGTGCTGGGGATTGAACCGCGGTCCACTTACCTGGCAGGGGAGATACCATGATCATAGCCTCTATCTTGAGGCTCGATCCCACCTGGCACCGCGGCTACCGTCCTGTCTCGACCCAGCTCACATTAAAGAGCAGCAGGTATAGGTTACCAGTGAAACACGCATGCCACCTTCAAAGACTATCACCAGCACCTCAGCTAGACCAATACATATTAAGGCCAACTGAAGGATACACAGCAGTCCTAGCCAGCTCTGTGCATAACAATACGAGGAAATAGGGTCAG